ATATCATGTTCTTTCCTTTCCTTTATAAAATTGTTAGTACTTTTTGTGCACTTCTAAATAAAAGTTTTAAACAATGAATATATAAATACATAGCATTTATATTCATAAATTTTCTTTTCAACAAGGTAGGTAGTGATTCATGCTTATAATCCTAGATACTCAAGAAGGGGAAATAGGAAGGACTGCAGTTCAAGGCCAGTCCAGACAAAAATGCTTATGAGATCTCTTCACAAACAATCGTTGAGTGGAGTGGCACATGCCTGTTACCTCAGCTACACAGGAAATGTAAATAAGAGGATCATGGTTCAGGCTGTCCTGGGCATAGACACAATAACCTATTTGAAAAATAACAGCCAAAAGGGCTGGGGTGGTGGCTCTGTGGCTCAAAATGGTAGAGCATTAGCTTTGACCAAAAACCTATAGTGCCCAGGCCCTGAGTTCACGACTTACCAAAATAACAACAAAACAAAAACAGTAACAAAAGGGCTGGGGCATGGCTCAAATGGTAAAGCACCTGTCTAGTAATTGCAAGTCCCAAGGCCAAAAAGTTTTAAACTATCCCTCCCTCCCTCCCTCCCTCCCTTCCTCCCTTCCTTCCTTCCGTTTGAGCTCAGGGCTTCATGCTTGTGTAATACCTCGTGGGGCCCCATTATCAGCGGGGCCCAATCGTCAGCCTGGCCCCACGGTCCGGCCTGCTGGAGGGGGCGGGGCATCAGGAGGCGAGCCTCACCGCTCCACAGACCCGCCCACCGGACAGAGCCGGGCCTAGAGAGGCTGACGTCCCAGCCCCACGGGGCCTGCCGCCGGAGGGGCGTGCCACGCCGCCGAAAGGGGGCGGGGTGTGCTACTGCAGGGGGTGGGGTGTCGAGCCCCACCTGGCGAGCTGCCTATGGGGATTGGACAGGGGGCAGCGTGGGGGAGGAGCATGAATGGCGGTTTGAAACCATTCGTGGGGGAGGGGCGCAGCCTATCTGGGTGTAGATAAGCCGCATGCGCGCAGGCGCGCGGCCAGAGGTAGGATAGGGGAGTCCGGAGGAGGAGGCCAGAGGAGGCCCGGAGTCCTGAGAGGGGGAGAGTAGGGGAACGACCGTGAGTCCTGAGGGAGGAAGGGGGAGCAACGAGGGGCCTGCGGAGGGGTGCCTACCTGAGCCGAGCAGGGCAGGGCAGGGCAGGCCTGTGGGGAGCAGAGAGGCCTGCAGAGGCGGAGGAAGGGAAGAAAGGGAAAAGCCTTCCCCTTTGGAGGTTTGGAGTTGGAGGTTTGCAGACCAACTAATAAAGGTCAGGAGGTCAGGGCTGACCACTGGAGGCTTGGAGGTTTGGTGGTTGAGGCTGCTCTTGGTTCTGGGTATCTAGCCCAGGACAAGGTAGGCTCAGGACCCTTTCTGGTGTAAATAGTGTAAATAAACTTTTGTGCACCTTTCACTGTGCCTTGATGGATTGTCTCGCTCTCTGGAGGTCATAGGTGTTGCTAAACAGATGTTCTACCAATTAAGCCATGACCTTAGCCTTTAGTTTTTTTTTCAGAGATGGTCTATCATTTTGCCCAGGTCTAGCCTGGGCAATTGTGATCTTCTACCCAAGGCTTCCAACATAGCCTTATATAGGCTTATACTTTTACACCCAACTTATTTTGTTGAATATAGTCTCACTAACATTTTGCCCAAACTGGCCGCAAACTCTTAATTTTCCTGATCTTTGTCTCTTGAACAGCTAAGATGACATGTGTACACCCTATTCCCGGCCTTTTTTTTTTGCTAAGGTTCACCAAATAATACAGTAATACAATAAAACTATGATTCGTTGTGTTAGGCATCACAAGCAATCTAGATATGATTTAACATATGTGGGAAAATGGGTACAGGTTGCATGCAAATACTCTGCCATTTTTTAAAAGCAATTGGAACATCAAATTTTGGCCTGATATGTGTGCATGTGTGTGTGTGTGTGTGTATTCATGTTCACATGCACAATGAAAGATGGCACAGTTTGTCTTTTCAACATCTTTGTGTAATGGTTACTTGCTTCCTTCAATGCAAGTGACATAGTCTTTATGTAGTCCAGGCCAAAGTGAACATGATCATCACCTAGAAATATTCTACCTAGAAATATCCTTATATTTTAGTGTGTCTTTCCAGCCATCCTAGTCTGTCCTTCACACCTACTTTTATATTTCACAATCACCTCCTCTGCCCCTCTTACAACCTGAGTGTCACTTACCCCAATACTTTGCACGCTCACAACTGGATAAAGGCTATGCCTTGGCTGCTATGTGTCTCTGGACAAACAGCACAGCTGTGCAGTTCTGTGCTCTTCTCACATCTTTCCTTCCTTCCTTGCTTCCTTGCTTCCTTCCTTCCTTCCTTCCTCTCTCTCTGTGCAAATGTGTGTGCGTACATGCATGCATGCATGCGTGTGTGTGTGTGTGTGTGTGTGTGTGTGTGTGTGCTGGTACTGGGCCTTGAACTCAGGGCTTTGTGCTCCTGCCTGACTTGGACCAAGGATGGTGGTTTACCATTTGAGCCACCCCTCCATTTCAGGCTTTTTGCTGGTTAATTGGAGATAGAGTCTCTTGCATTTGTTTGCCCAAGTTGGCATTAAACCTTGATCCTCAGATCTCAGCCTTCTACGTAGCCAGAAGTACAGGCAGGGGTCACTGGTGCCTGGCTCCCCCTCACCCCTTCCAATAAGAGAAGGATCCTTTCTTCTTGTAGGACTTAGCTTTCTTGCTTTTCACACATAGTACTTCACCGAATGGCTCATCCTGGGCTTTCTTTTCTCTGGGCTCCTCATCTTCCCATGAAGCAGGTAATATTTTACAGAAGAGAAGACTGCAATTCAGAAGAATTCCAAGGTTGCTCCATAGTCTCCCAATCCGTAAGTGGCTGAGGCAGGAATGAAATTGAAGCCTAAATTTTTATTTTTCAGTTTACCCACATCCTCCTTGCTTTTCCTTCCCTCTGTTTCTTCCTACTTACTTCCAAACACTTCTCTCCATTGGATCCATCTAGAATCATGATGGTTTTTATTTCAGTCCTACCATTTCACTGCATTGAAATTGTATGCTATAGCATACTGCTGTCTTTTAAAAGGGTACATAATACATTAGTAAAAGCACCAGGTACACAATAAGACAACAGAAAAAATTACTGATAGCATGCCTTAAAAAATACCCAGGTGCTCATGGTTAAGGCCTGTAATCCTAGGTTTTCAGGAAGCTATATAATGTGGGTAGGGACCGGGCAGGACGGATAAACAGTAAGGGGAGGGGTGACATTGTCCAAACAGAAATGTGCTCTTTACCTGACATAAACCAGTAACCGCTCTCTGTACATCACCTTTATACTAACAATTTTAAAAAATAAAAAAAGAAATTGTATGCTATTCATGCTCTAAACTTATTAATTTACTTATTTGGTGGTGGTGACAGGGGGTGGAGGGAAACTTGGGATTAAACCCAGAATACTGAGCAAGCTAAACATGTGCTCTACTACTGAGTCATATTCCCAGCTCTATCCTCTAAACATTATGCCCATTGAAGGCAAAAGCCAGGTGATGCTCAGTATGGTGTCTTTAGGGCTCCTCAAAGAAACTTCCTTGGCTAAAGTGAGCATCAGCAACTTGTCCATTAAAGTCAAAGGACTGGCCGGGCGCCTGGGCTGTGAGACTCTTATCTCCATTAAACCACCAGAAAACCAGAAGTGGCACTGTAGCTCAAGCCTTGAGCTCTAGCCTTGAGCTGAAGAGCTGAGGGAAAGCACCCAGGCACAGAGTTCAGGCCCCACAACTGATTAAAAAAATAATAAAGTCAAAGGACTTCGTCCCCATTCTCCTTGACCCATCTGAGGAGTTAACATGGCCAATTACTCCAGCCCTCTCTATTGCCCTGTTTAGCCATTCACCTTGTTTCCTTCCTGCCCCTGACCACTCCATACAATGTCAGTCTTCAGATTCATCTTTCACCTGTCTACTTTCAGTCCCTAGTTAGGTTCAGGCCAGTGCTGTTTGGTCTGTACTGGTGTCACAGTTCCTAGGCTTGTGTCTCCTCCAATCAGCATACTAGCATGACAGTAGAGTGATCACTAAAACACCTTGTGATCTTGCCACTTCTGTGCTTTGAATTTTTTTTTTTGCCTGAACTCTGGGCCTGGGCGCTGTCCCTCAGCTCTTCAGTTCAAGGCTAGCGCTCTACCACTTGAGCCACAGCGCCACCTCTGGCTTTTTCTGCTTATGTGGTGTTGAGGAATCGAACCCAGGGCCTCATGCATGCAAGGCAAGCGCTCTACCACTGAGCCACCTTCCCTGCCCTGAATTCTTAAATGAGTAGTATTGCCTGGAGTGAAATCAAGTTCTTAAGCATGTCGGAAAAGGCCTTTCATCCTCTGTCCTCTCAGGACTCATCCATGCCCCCTTTCCTTTTCACAGCTCTGTGATCTCTCTAGTCTATGGTCTGACCTGCTAGTGAGTGTCCCTGTCCGCCATGTTCATGCACACCTGTGTATCTTTCCCCAAGCAACTTCGTTTAAATGAGGTTTAGGTGTCTCCATCTCTTCCTCTCCTCTCCCCTCCCCTCCTTTTCCTTCCTCTCCCAGAGAACATCTTATTCATCAAATAGAACTGAGCTATTCCTAGTTTTAGTGCCTGTTCACTTCCCCATGTTCCCAAAAGAAGTTTCTACTCAGAGCTATTATGGAAGATAACATTTCTATAGCTTGCTAGACTGGAGCCTTCCAGAAGAGAGTGGTTTTTCTCTGCCTTTGCAATCCTATCTGTATAATAAATAGGTGATGGCTAAACAAGTGAATGAACGAAGGAAGCAGAGGGAAGGGTAGAAGGCTTAGAGACAGAAAGCCGGAGACAGAAGCTTGCTTTGCAGAGGATTATTATAGAACAAGGGCCGAGCTGCTGTCTTTCAGAAAATGGATAGAAGACTCTCAACACTGAAGGTAGAGAGCCCAGGCCAAACGCTGGACAGGGAGCGGTGCTTTCAGGACCCCAGAGAATCAACAAGGAAGCTCGTGCGAGGGCAGGGCCTGGGGTTTCTCAGCCGAGACCTTCTGCTGGTTCCTGCGGAACAGAGCGGCGAGGTGCGGCCTGATCGCCTTGGTCCTGGCGGGGTTGAGCAGGCACGGGAGCAGCAGGTAGAAGGCGCCGAGCAGGTCGTGCAGGGCCTGGGAGGCCGCGCGGGCCAGGCGGTCGGCCATGGACGAGGACACGGTGGAGGAATAGATGGTGAAGAGGACCAGCAGGTGGGAGCCGCGGGTCTGGAGGGCCTTGGAGCGCGCCCGGCCCGAGGACGAGATGCGGAAGGCAGCGTGGATGAGGCGGGAGCAGGAGGCCCCGAGCAGCACCAAGTCCAGGACTCTGTTGAAGACGCGCATGGCTTGGCCCACCCGCTTGTGGAGCCAGACGTCGCCACAGGCCAGCTTCCTCAGGGCGGTGCGCTCAGGGGCCAAGTGATGGATGATACTGGAGCAGCGGCAGAAGCGCACCCGGGAAGCCAGCGCCACCGCCACCCGGGCCACAGAGCCTGTGCGCCCGGAGGCCGCCACCCCGACCAGGGCGACCAACAGCGCCGGGACCGCGACTACCTCCGGGGAGCGGAGAGGGCTGCAGCTGGCCACGTAGCGATCCAAGGCCCTGACCAGGAGGATGACCTCCAAGACGATGAGGAAGTAGACGTAGAACATCCGGAGCAGGTGGCGAGGCGGGGAGATGCGGTGCAAGTGCGTGGAGAAGCTGGAGAGCATGGCGGGCACCACGGTGGCGGCGGCGGCGGCGGCGCAGATGTTGACGGCCAGGAGCAGCGCGATGAGCAGGTACACGGGCTGGTGCAGGCTGGGCTGCCACCGTGGTGGATGACCAGGGCGTTGGTGGACAGGACCACCAGGTAGAGGCTGAGGAAGGGTAGCACCAGGCGGGCCCGGGATTCCTGTAGTCCCGGAAAACCCACCAGGATGAAGCTGGTGGAGGACCCGACCCTGACGTCATTCCTGGGCGGGCCAGCTGCTCCTGCCCCAGCCGCCTCTCTAGGCTGCTCCAGGCGCTTCGTGCTTCATGAGCTACTGGATTTCTGCAGAGAAAATGAAGAGTTCTTTGTTCACATTTAGTGGGATCTTTCAGAAACAACTGCCCATGAGCTCTTTAGGGCTTGCTTTTCTTTTCTTGTTTACAAAGAAAAACCTTTCCATACTTATTGAGAACTTACATTCCTCTAGTTTCAATGCTAGAGGGGCTTGTAGTACACCCCGAATAATAGATGGTCTCTGTCTTGAGTGAACTTATAGTGTATTGAACAAATCCGAAGTGACAAGAAAGAAAAAAAAAATGCAGTAATAGGATGCTAGCATGGAAGCCCTGTCTGTCCTACATCTAAGAAGAAAACATAAAGCAAATACTTGTTCCTCATTTCAAAGTCGGGCGCTGGAGGAGAATTTACACAATTGGTTGCGATTGATTGCAACCTGTATACTCCAATGCCCACCTAGAAAGCACAGGAAGTTTGAGATTGAGGAGTCTGAGAGACAGCACATGTTGGGAGAGCTGGCATTTTCCTTTCCCGCATCCTGAAAGGGTAGGGGTCAGGACACCAAAGGGGCTTCACCTGGAGCCCAGGAATTCAAGGCTTTGAAGAACACAACAGTGAACTCAAGTTAAATCACTGTACATACGCTGTTAGCAACCCTATCAGAAACAGAGATGTATAAAATCTTCTGTTCTTGGTGAATTGATTTGTGGTTTCCTAGAGACTCTCTCTCTCTCTTGCTCTCTCTCTCTCTCTCTCTTTTTTTGTCAGTCATGGTACTTGAACTCTGGGCCTGGGCGCTGTCCCTCAGCTCTTCAGCTCAAGGCTAGCGCTCTACCACTTGAGCCACAGCGCCACTTCCTCTCTTCTTCTTTTGTTGGTTGGTATTACATGCTACTTAGATGTTCTTTTTTTTTTTGTTTTTTTTTTTTACTTAGTTTTAATGTTAAGATTCATTTTTTCAACAAGAGTAAGGCTAAGTAGTAGTTTAAACAATGATCAGGATGAATAAGTGAACATCCATTTAGATCAAACATTACTGCTTAAAAGCATCTGAGAAATGTTGGGCAATATATTTAATGTTTAGGTCAGTAGGCACTTTCTTGAAAACAGAAAAGCTAGCCAGGCACTGGTGGCTGATGCCTGTAATCTTAACTATTCAAGAGGATAAGATCTGAGGATTGTGGTTTGAAGCCAGCCTGGGCAAGAAAGTCTGTGAGACTCTTATCTCCAATTAACCATTAAAAAGATGGAAGTGGGGCTGGGAAGGTGGCTCAGTGGTAGAGCGCTTGCCTTGCATGCATGAGGCCCTGGGTTCGATTCCTCAGCATCACAAAAGCAAAAAGAAAAAAGCCAGAAGTGGCGCTGTGGCTCAAGTGGTAGAGCGCAAGCCTTGAGCTGAAGAGCTGAGGGACAGCGCCCAGGCCCAGAGTTCAGGCACCATGACTGGACCAAAAAAAAAAAAGAAGATGGAAGTGAAGGTGTGACTTAGGTAGTAGAATGCTAGCCTTGAGTGAAAAAGCTAAGGACAGTGCCCAGGCCTAGAGTTCAAGCCCCAATATTGGCATATACAAAGCAGAAAAGCTTTTGTAAAACAACCAAACACAAAATTTCATTCAAGGAAGCAAGGTGTTGATCTTCTTAAAAATTTTCCTTCATAAAGAATCCAAAATTTCAAACAATGTAAATTGTTAGAAAATTTAAGCCATAAAAATAATGGCCAAGAAAAAAATCAACAAAAGATAAAATTTACAGTTTGTATTTTTAATTCCCTCAGTTCAATAAAATATCAATGATAAATTTATTAAAAACAAATGAAGTGTATATATATATGCAGTCTATTAGTGCTGAAAATCTGAAATATACCTGTGCATATACATTATTTTTCAAGTCACTCTTTCTGATAACATTTAAAAAATAGCATCTCTTGTAGCAAATCTGAAAACTATTAAGCATTTTAATCTCAAATTTTCATACTTCTATTTCTATCCTTTTCCTTTTTTTATTTTGGTCAGTCGTGGGACTTGAACTCTGGGCCTGGGCGCTGTCCCTCAGCTCTTCAGCTCATGGCTAGTGCCCTACCACTTGAGCCAAAGAGCCACTTCTGGCTTTTTCTGATTACATGGTGATGAGGAATCAAACTCAGGGCTCATTCATGCAAGGCAAGCGCTCTACCACTAAGCCACCTTCCCAGCCCCCTTTTCCTTTTTTATCCTTAATATTCATGCAGCATTTCCTTTTTTCTTTTTGATAAATAACCCTTCCTTATATCCCAACATAACACAGTGACAAGGCTTCCCTGTAAGAAGGAAATCCCAGAATAGTGCAAGTTTTCCAAAGTGTTGCACAGCCTAAGTGATAGAGAATGAGATGAAATGAAATAAAGCAAATCAAAACAATCAAGTGCTCCTGAGAGTCCATTAATGATTTGAAGATTTGTTGTTACAAACGTGAAGAAAGTTTCAACAGATTTCGCCAGCAAATTATCAGAAAACAAGTATTCAATGGACAACTTTTCTATTTATTTCTGTCAAGAAATAAATACCAGAGCCTTTTCATCATACTATAATATTGACATCAATTTCCTGTTTCTTTTTCTTTCTGGTATTTTAAAAAAAGTTGTTGTAGTTTTTTCTCCTCCTCTGCTTTCATTTGAATGGCTGTTACTTCAAGACCTCTTTCTGTTCTCTAACTTTATTTTTTTGTGCTGGTCCTGGGGCTTGAACTAGGGCTTGGGTGCTGTTGCTGAACTTTTGTGTTACCACTTGAGCCACAGCTCTACTTCTGCCTTTTTGATGGTTAACTGGAGATAAGTGTCTGACGGACTTTCCTGCCATTGTTGGCTTCAACCTTCTATCCTCAGAGGGTGAGACCTCTTGAGTGGTTAGGATTATAGCCATAAGCCACCTGTGTCCTGCTATTTCTGAACATTTGTTGTGGAATTTATCTTCTAGCTACTAACTCTCTCTGTTCACCTCCTCTTGGCCTCATGCTTGTTTTCTGTAGATGGTAGTGACTTCTCTGTGTGTTTTTCATTTAACAGTTTGATTCTAGAAAATACAAAACCACAGGCACATGGCATAGCTGAGGACTGTTGGTTGCACTTGGGGTACCATTTGGTGGCCAACTTCTCTTTCTTTTTTTTGTGAATAAGTTATACCTTTATTTTTCATAAGAAAAAATGACAAGTGGCAACTTGCCTTTATAAGAGACATTAAACAATATTAGAATAAAGAGCTATCTGTCTCATAGAGATAGAAGCCTCAGAAAGACTATTATACAGCTTATATACAATTATTAAATAAATCCGAGAATAATACACTTCTTTTTTGGTGGTACCAAGGTTTGAACTCAGGGCCTTGTGCTCACTTAGCTAGCTAGCATTCTACCACTTGAGCCATGCCTCCAGTGTGGTTTTTTTGCTTGTTAACTGGAGATTGAGTTTTGAGGATTTGTCTGCCCAAGCTGTTCTTGAATCACAGTCCTCCAGATCTCAGCCTCCTAAGTAGTTAGGATTACAGGTGTGAGCTGCTAGTGCCCAGAGAATATACATTTAACTAGATCAAAAATGATGACATGAAAAAAAATGATCAGATGGAACCCATCCAGTGGTGTGTGACGAAGAAAAAGGAATATCTGGAAATCCACATACTGGGTATTCTCTGTTAAAATCAAGGAGACTCCACTCTGTTTATTAAAGTATCTATGGATATAACTGTGTTTTTCTAAATGTTTCATTAGTGATACTCAGTCTTGTAAGTCTGGTTCCATAGTAATCTATAATGTAACTAGTTCCATCTGAAGGTCCAACAATCTGCATTGAAATAAGAATAAAATCAATTAGGCTCCCAATTCCACAAAATCCTACAGTGCAAAACTTTAATAAATCCAAGGCAGGGTATCCAAGATAAAATCCATCTGCTCCCAACCATCCAAGGAAAAGAGACAATGCAACTGCTACTTTGTATGAATAACCATTTACATTTCGGCATGATATAGGCTTGTAAAAACCAATTTCATTTCCAGTAAAATGTGTTTCGTTGCTACTGAAATCCTTACAGGTTATGTTGGGTGCTGGAAAACATTGGGCATGAGCTGTGTAGTTTGTACAGTTAACTGGTTCTTGTGTAGCATCATTTATTTGGGGATCTTTACAAATATATTGTCCCACTTTGAGGTCCTCGCACTTAAATGTCTCCTTGTCCCCGGCGGTGGGAATCGCCTAAGGTCTCGTGGTGACGGTCAGGAGCCACAGCAGACGGGTGGCCACGGCCTCCGCAGAAGCGGGCCTGGAGGCCCAGGCGGCCGCCATGTTGGATCCCAACTTCTCATTCTTGAGTCAAGTTGTGGGTATGCTCCTCTGGAAGCTGTTTGGAGACTGGATCTAGGAATTTGACTCCATCTAGGAGCCTGACTTTGAATTGCCATTTCCCTCCTCATTTTGGTGACTTGGTGTCTAGCTAGTTTCTACTCTTCCCATCTCTCCAAGACTATTGTGAAATAACCACAAAAATATTTGCCAGTTTTCTCAGTAACCCAGAAATCAACTTTTAGGGGGGCATAGTCAGAAGTTTTTCTTCCCTAACTTGGGTTTAATTTCCTTCTCCACTAGGTTCTTCCTTTCCTAGAATAGGAAAATCGAATAAATATGGGAGATGAATAGTTTCCTTCTGTCATTTTTTATTACTGTGCCATCTACCAAGCCATATAAAACTTGGTTTCATTGGTCTTTCCTTCCTCCATCCACTCCTCCTGCCCAACTTCTCTCCTGTCAGAACAATCATCTAGAGACTTCATTTTCTCAGCCCTGCCTGCACAGCTGTGGCGCCTTTAGGAATGTGGATCTCTAATACTGAGGGCCATCCTAGGCTGAACTCGGTGTCTAAGAGAAGAGGAGGGGATGGGCTGAAGGCAAACTTTCTATGAAAAGTTTTCTATAGGAAAAGTTCAGCCTTTGCTATGTCCCTCAAGTAAAGCAGGGGCCTTCAGGCTGTTAGATGTGTTGTTCAGAGCTGATTGTGAGGTGCTATCTTGGTGGAACCCTGATCCTCAGGCACTCAGACTTGCTGGATATATGTGGTTACATTAACGCGAAGAAGAAACGCTTGTGGGGAGGGGCTATGATGACCAAGGCACAGGCTGACTGGAGATTTACGTGTGTGTGTGTGTGTGTGTGTGTGTGTGTGTGTGTTGGGGCTTGAACTCAGGGCCTGGGTGCTATCCTTTAGATTTTTCACCCAAGGCTATCACTCTACTACTTGAACCACAGCTCCACTTTGATCTTTTTAGTGGTTAATTGGAGATCAGAATCTCACTGACTTTCCTGCCCGGGCTGGCTTTGAACCATAGTCCCAATCTCAGCCTTCTGAGAAGCTAAGATTACTGATGTGGGCCAGTGGCACCTGGCATAGAGATTTGCTTCTGAGCTGCTTGGTGGGTATGTGTAGGAGAGGCTAGGATTTCATTATCTCCATGGAGGAGGAGGACAGGAACACATGGGACTGAGTTTCCTACAGCATGGCTCTGGGTTGGACTCAGAGGATGATTCAGGAGACATGTCCAACATCAGAGACCTTGAAGCTTATGGATCGAGGCTTGGAATATGGATCCACGGCACATTCCTTTCTTTCTCCCTGGATTGCGCGAGATAAGTATGTGGCTAGAGGAATCGAGGTGCTGTGAATGCTCTTACTTCCTGAGCTGAATTGTATTGTCTCCTAGCTGAGAGCTTCCCCAACCCTCCCTGCCAGGTTCTAAACACACTCCCTTACTTACCAGGACAGATAACACCGGCAGGGGAAGTAAGGCCAGGCCAAGCCAGGCCTGGGTTCCCTGACTGAATTAAATTCTCTCCATTTCTCTCTTGGGGACGTCAATTGCATCCCAGTTCCCAGTCCCAGGCTCTGACTTAGCCAAGTAGCAGGGCCTTGGGGGTAGCCAAGGGTGAGCATGCATCCCACAGAGTCCTGCGGGGGGAGGGTGGGGGAGGTAAGGGGAGGAAGAGCAAGGAGACCATAGTTCTTACACAGACACTATGCCAGGGAGCAGGAGGGGGCTTGTCAGGGAAGAGTCGAGGGTCCCTGCAGAGTAGTTCTGTAGAACCCTCCTTTGACCCCATGTTTCCAGGTGACTTCATCTGAGGAGTCAGCCACACATCAACCCAAGTGACCCCACACTGCTATATCCAGGCCTCTCCCCTGTATCCCTTTCAGCTGCTTATTGGAAGTCTCCCCTAGAATGTTTCCTAGGAAATGCCAATGCATCAAGCCATGCTTTCAGTATAAAACATGGCCATGTGTTCTCTCTGTTAGAAATGCTAATCTACCCCATGTTTTCTGGAATGGAGAGCCTGGAGGGAGAGGGAGGAAGGAGAGGGAGCACGAATATCAGTCAGGACTGGGAAAAGCATCCAGAGTTGTTCAGGCTTCATCTCTGATCCTCTGCCAAGCGCCTGAGAGGCCTTTGTGTCTTCTTAGCTGTGTGTGGCTCATCTCTACTCCTTTCCACCCTGATCTTGGTAACTTCATTTCTAGTCTGTTCCTGTGGCTGCCTTTTTGCTGATGTCTTTTCTCTGACTTATTAAACTCAGTAGGCTAGAGGGAATTAATGAAACTACTTTTTTCTTAGTCTCTGTTAACTTAGATAAAAAATGGAATTTCCATTTCCAACTTTTTGTGTTGGTTGTCATTTTGTTATGCTTGTACAGACCCCTGCCCCCCCCCCCCCATTTTTTTTATTGTGAAAATACTGTACAGAGGGGTTACAATTACATGGGCAAGATAATGAGTACATTTCTTTCTTTTTTTTTTTGGGGTCCGGTCATGGGGCCTGAACTCTGGGCCTGGGCGCTGTCCCTCAGCTCTTCAGCTCAAGGCTAGCGCTCTACCACTTGAGCCACAGTGCCACTTCTGGCTTTTTTTCTTTTTTGCTTATGTGGTGCTGAGGAATCGAACCCAGGGCCTCATGCATGCAAGGCAAGCGCTCTACCACTGAGCCACCTTCCCAGACCCTAATGAGTACATTTCTTATCAAGCATTGTAGCCTCCTCCTTTGTTTCCCCTTCTCATTGCTTCCCATCCTCCCCCTGCTCCCCCACCCAATTCTCCTCCCCCCCTCCACCAAAGTTGTAAAGTTCGTTTTTGAAATAATGACTTGTAAGTCTCAATGTTGCAATGGGTCCACCTGTATCCCTATTTAAACGATTTGTTTGTTCCCTTTCCCTCCACAAATTATACCAACATCAAATACAGTGAAAGCAGGGGTTATACTGCGGGGCCTCTCTCCCATTTTGTTTTCTTGTTTTTTTGTTTTTGCTAGTCCTGGGGCTTGAACTCAGGGCCTGGGCACTGTCCCTTAGCTGCTTCTTCTTCTTCTTCTTCTTTTTTTTTTTTTTTTTTTTTTTTACAAAGCTAGCACTCTACCACTTGAGACAGAGCACTACTTCTGGCCTTTTCTGTTTATGTGGTACTGAGGAATCGAACTCAGGGCTTCATGCATGCTAGGCAAACACTCTACCACTACGCCACATTCCCAGGCCCAGATTCCCTTGTTTTGATGAGAAAGAGCGCATGTATGTGTGTGTGTGAAGAGGTGATTTCAGTGCAGTGAAAGCACTGTCGTGTTTTGCTGGCTACACGGTCCTTATCTGAGTGTCTTCCTTGTGAAGGCCCAGACCCTGCAACAGGAGGGGTCCCCTGGAACGTGCGCCGGGGGTGTGCCCGCAGCCCGGCTCTCCTCCAGCACTGGTCCCCATCACTGTTGCTGCCACAGTGCCCTAACCGACGGTGTCATCTCTTAAGAATCTAGAACATACTAGGTTATGGTAGATATTTAGTAGCAGTGAACTCGTGTGCAGGTTTTACAAAAGCCTAACAGGACAGGCATTGTCTTTTGCATTTGGTAATTGAAGAAACTAAGGTAAGCAAGGTCCTATGTAATATCTCATATAGGAACCTCATTGTTTCACTCCTCATTCTTTTTCATGGGATCTGGCAAATTGAAGCTGAGGCTTTTGGCTGGGAGGGGAGGCAAGGGGAAGGCAAGATGAAGACTGTGAGAACCACAACGTCTGTACTGGATAAACTATAAGTCTAGTGGGTTTTTTTTTCTTCTGGTCCTGTGGCTTGAACTCAGGGCCTGTCCTTGAACTCTTGTGCTCAAGGCTAGCACTCTTACCACTTGAGCTATAGAACCACTTTTTTGGGGAGTTAATTAGAGACAAGGGTCTCACAGACTTTTCTGCCAGGATTGGTTTTGAACTGCGATCCTCAGGTCTCAGCTTCCTGAGTAGCAAGGATTACAGATGTGAGCCACCAGCGGTAGCTGGTGAGAGCAATTCTTGAGTAGGTATTAAGGGACAAACTCAGCGATGGAGCCAGTGGCCAGAGAAGGTTGTGTGACACAGGAGTCTGATGCCTGGCACTGAGTACAGGACGCTGAGGTTGACTTGGTTTTGTGGCTGGGGTCACGTGATATAGGGAGTCTCCACTGTCCACAGGACAGAAAAGTCAGGCACAATCTAGACGCACGTCCTAGCTCAGGGTCAAATCTAGCATTATTCTCAGAGAATGTAGCTCTGTACCTGGGCCTGCAGGTGGCATACAGGAAGTCTGGGGGGCGGGCGGAGCAGACCAGCTGAGAGCAGGATTGGGTACTGTGTGGGAAGGAGCACCATCAGAGGTCTTCCGTTCAGCAGCCACATTTTGAGGAAGGGGGCCTCGCTAGGTCCTGAGTCTCATCCTGCACTGCAGGGCTGGCAGGGACCTAGTGTTCAGAGCTTGGTTAAGGGATACTGGATACTAAAGCTGAGCTGCAGGTCTTCATAGAAACCCACACGTGGCTGGGCCGTGAGGAGATATAGTTCTCACCCTATGTGGGATTGGCTGTAATGCCCAGGCTGTACTCACTGGGCCAAGGGAGGCTGTGGGGGCAGGGAGGGGCTGCCGGCACCTGTGCGTGCACCTGCTAGTTTTCTCTTGGAGCCTTGGAATGCTCGCCACTCCCCACCCCCAAAGGTACCTTGTATTCCGCTTGCTTAAGTCTTTATGATTCTACTTAGTGAAGTTGTAATGATGGATTGTTTTATTGCTTTACTTTTGTGTTGGTCCTAGTGCTTGAACTCAGGGTCTGGGAGCTGTCCCTGAGCCATTTTTTTTTTTTTTTTGCTCAAGGCTAGAGCTCATGTGGCTTGAGCCACATGGACACTTCTGGTGTTTTTGGTAGTTAATTGAAGATAAGAGTCTCATGGACTTTCCTGCACGGGCTGGCTTCCATCTGTGACCCTCAGATCTCAGCCTCCTGAGCAGTTAAGAT